CTGGGTATTCGAATACTACACAAGTCTGATACAAACAACGTATGTCTTATCGAGTTTCGTTTTCGAAAAAGAGGATGTTGAAGTTAATAGGTAGTTATTTTATCTGTGATGACGGAAAGAAACCTTGACATTTTATTTGTTGGCATCAGGATACAAAATGTCACATTTCATAAATTACTTATAGGTAGGTGCACTGTTGATGGCTTTTTTGTGCCAGTTCTGAAAAATAAGCCAATAAAATCGTCCCCGAGAAAGAACTGAAAGTCCTTTTTATATCTTCCATTCCACTTCGCGGATAGGTACGTAAATTACTAAAAAACCACAGTTTTTAAAATCAAAACACAAAATTGAAATGGCACGTATTCGATTACTTCAGAAGGTTTCCATAGCAACAAATAAAGATGACTAAAAAAAGATGCCTGATGCAAACACAGGAGGTGCATGTGCTACCAGTTAAATACTTCAAATTTCACATCGATAATTTTCTGATTTTGTTATGATGTAATACATTCCCAATATCGAATCGTGGGTTTTTCTGTCACAGAAAAAAAAATGACAAAAATGTGTAGATATTATACACGGGATAATATTAGATTTTATAGTTTCCCGGTTCTTTGTATCCCTATCCCTGCACTATAAGTACGAGTCGGGATACACTGCAACCTCGAGCTAAAATCAAATACTTTTTTCCCTTGTGTAATAAATAACTATTCTATCACTAACTTCTGTATATATCTCAAAATACGCGGGCTTCCTATACCTATGCCTTTTCGTTTTCGAGATATTTTCGAAAAACATAATACATAATTTCCGGATTTTCAATTTAATTTTTATTTGGCATTGGAAATAAAGGTATTCCAAAAACAAATTGAATAATACCTTCTCGGCAACTTTTGATGAGTATTAATCGATTCAGCATTATCCATTTTTTGAACTAACGTCTCGTCTTGCAAACATCATCATCTTCATATTTTCAAATACGGCCCTAATATTTCGATATCAGATTCGAATTCGACGATATGCTTAACACATCATAATGCGCTTAGAGAATATTTTGGCTATCAATGCCCCCTCATAGGTACCTAATTTTTGGGAATACGGACCTGAATGGGAATCATTTTGAACATCTTCTGTGAATCCATCAGTTTCATATCGAATAGTTTCGAAGTTCATATAGAAGTTTATTTTTCACTTATCCATTACTGCTTTATATAATACCTTGGCAACGGTTGCGTGGCGTTATGGAGGGCATTATGAATCATATAATATAACGCCCGCTAATCTTTTTTTCTGTAGTTCATAATGGTTATTTATATGTACCAAGTTCGTTATATAGATCCTAACGCCCGGAAGATAGGATCTATCGATTTATTAACGCTCGTGGTGCAAGATTTTATTTTTCACGAAAAAGTTTTCTTATTATAATAAAAAATCGATTTTAAAAAGCGGTTCATCGGTCCTAACATTTTCTTTACATTTTTCTTTTCATAGTAGAAATAGCATTTGTTGATATTTTGACGTTTGTTGAATATTGCTGTCATGATTGAATTTACTGAATGTCATTGCTGCTTTCTTTGTGTATAGTCTTATAGAAATAATGGAAATGAATATATATACAAATTCACCAAAGAATATAAAAAAGCAGACAAGGCATCGATTAATTTATTGTCGGATAAATCCAGACTCGTGTACCTACCTATATACATCTATATAACGCACTATTTTTCTGTGACAGGAAAAATATTGAAATTTCATCTCTGTTGGCAGGTTATGAAATGTCCTTGTATAAATTACTTTTTTCTACGGGAAACAAGTGAGTACTTTTTTCCCGGATAATTATATCACATATTATATTATATATACACTGTTGATGGCTTTTGTTGTGCTATAAGTAGTTCCGAAACACGCATTACGTACTATATATATAAACGGATTTTTTTGAAATTTGGAACAGTTATGTATAGCAAGCATTTCGAATTCGATGACATTATACAATCCAATATGGCGGACTCTCGGTTTTTCTGGAAATGCCAGCAACTTCGTTTTTCAATCGGAACACCCTGTATATTTTTACATATTCAATTTCAACAGGTCAAAACAAGTGCAAACTGATATGACAAGATATACACTTATACAGGTTTGTCCAAAACTCTATATACTCTATATTATACTTAACAAAGTGTGTAATGAAGCAGAGATAATTTCCAATAAAGTATTGAAATATTTAATCATTTCTGAATATCTTGATAACTTACACAAATGTAATAAAGGTTTTGTTCGAAACGTCCCCCAGCTGCTCCACAACAAATTCTTACTTGTCTAATTATTGCAAACGCCGCTCTCTCAAGTGTGTCTGGGTCGTCTCTCTGTGGTTTAGGTGAACAAGACTTCTCATGAAGGGGTCAGATCATGGTCAGATGATCTCGGTGGCCAAAAAACTGGACCACCCCTTGCAGTGTACACGGTGAAAAATCCCATTGTGTGAAACTTTTCGTCAAAACCCAGACAGCACTAGATATTCCTAGAATATTCTCTAAATATGCTAAAAAGGAGGAGTATATTCCGAATATTCATCGATTATTCCTAGAATATATACATGCCTCTGGAACATCTAGAAGGAATATTCCAAAGTGATGTTCAGGGAATATTCAGGTATGAATTTTCCAGGAATATTCCCAAATGAATATTCTCTCTTGTATATTCATGAAATATTCTCAACTGAATGTTCTGTGGGGTATATTCATGAAATATTCTCAACTGAATATTCTGTGCGGTATATTCATGAAATATTCTCAACTGAATATTCTGTGGTGTATATTCATGAAATATTCCATGAATATTCCTATGTTTCTCAACACATAAATACCCATCATTATTTCAGAGTTGTGAGTATCGAACATCAAAATTAGATTTTGGAACAAAAAGTGTTTATGATCCGATTTCGAACAACGCTCTCACAAGAAATTGATATGTACAACATCATTCAATTCGATTACTGGCCTAGTGGTCAAGGCGTTGGTCTGATAGTCTAGAGGTCACGAGTTCGATCCCTACTAGGGTCACTTTTTTTATTTTAGAATATGTTTATTGGAATATTCCAGGAATATTCAACATGGAATATTCTTTTGGATATATTCTATGAATATCTGAGGAATTCCCATTCGCATATTTAGAGAATATTCCACAGATATTCCGGAATATTCCAGATTATTTCTAGAATATTCCAATATTCCAAAAGGAATATGATAGGGAGATTCATGGAATATCTGGTGCTGTCTGGGAATAGGAACGCGCGCACAATTAGTTTCCTCAAGAACTCAAATTTAACTGAATCTCGGTCAACATTGTTTACATGATTTCTAGAATATTTTCTTCTCATACATTTTGTGTCTGTTTGATTCGAATGATAACTATGAAATTAGGGCTTTGCGAGACCAAGACCAAGACTGATCATTATTGGTGTTGGTCTCGCAAAATAAATGTCGTCTTGGTCTTGTTATTGGTCTAGATGTTTCAAGACCAAGACGAGCCTGACTCAGTCTTGGTCTTGGTTTTGATAGTCTTGGTCTTGGGTCAATATGCGTCTAGAAATATGAATTATTCAATTCTAATATCCAACAGTTGTGCGTATAAAGTAAGCTAAATAAATTTCTCCTTTTCCCATACGAATATAATTTTAAGAAACCTTATAAAGGCCGACGACCGACTGGCCAGAAAAAGGTTCAAAAGGGGCGGAACTGACAACAAACGCATTATCAAAATATTTCCAAAAAATTTCAAATTCCAACCAAATAACTTTTGTATTAAATTTGTTTCTATCTTCAATAGGAGGAGGTATGGACCACTGTAACCTTACAACATACCTACACCTTTTTGATGTAAACTTTGAAACAGCTATACTGAATTTGAAAAATGTATTTCGGATATTGAGTAAACACAAATCAAAAACCTTCCATATGACAAATAAATAACTGAAATAAAATAATATATCTCATTTTCCATCCGATTTTTCTTGATTTTGATTAGATTTGAGTACATTATTCTTCTTTCAAGACCAAGATCAAGACTCTTGGGAGAGAGCTTTGGTCTTGGTCTTGATGGTCTCGGAAGTCAAGTATTGGTTTTGGTCTTGGTTAAGATTTATTGTCTTGCATGGTCTCGCGAAGCCCTATATGAAATAATTACACAATCCGGTGTGGACCTGGACTGACACAAATGTGTGTGGACCTGGAATTAAAATCAACTCGAAAATTTTTACCGTGTACTGGTTAGCAAAGTTGTTATTCAATTGCCCAGAACTCCTTATCTATCGAGTTTGAGACAAAAGTGTATAAGGTACTTGCGACTAGAAATTGTTCAAGGAATATGCCCTTGAGCTATGGCAATCAAGTCACGGGACACCCTGTATAACTATACAAAGTTTTAGAAAAATCCGTTCACGAATGCACCCGGAATATTTTGTTGGAGATCTTCACAGTGTTTTTCCAACAGTGAAGAAATACGTAGGGTGTTCAATTGAGATAGTGAAAATATGTATCTGTTGATTCGGAAAGGAAGAAACATTCCCCTATTTTATATTTTTTTACATTTTCAAAAATAAGAATTTGATAGAGAGTGGTACTTTATTGTGTATCACTCGGTATATACCTAGGTAGATAGTTCGAATTCAGTGAAATCATTATAATTTCACCCCATTCATGCAATAAACTTCCAATAACGGTATCCAAGCAACCGATTGGTGGGGGTAAATAACAATACCGCGTCTTATCGATATCAGAAAAGATATTGTCCGTGTCTAGTTAGGGTTATTTTTTCGGAGGAGTGTCTGTCGAAATTATTGGAAAAAAAGTGTGCAAACGGTCCATGTACGAGTTTAAAATTGTTGGATGATATGATTTTAGTGCAGAGATTTTATTTATTCTCATGAATTCAATCGAAATTTATTTCGGTGCTGCAATTGTTGTTTTTTGTTGTTGAAAATGTGCAAGTGATTTGGAATTATGGAATTTTGGGATATGGATGATAGGAGAGAATCAAGACATCATAGAACCCTTCATGGTAGATATATTATTTTACTCGAGATTTTATTACAACCAAATTCAGATTGGTGATACAGGGTGTTTCCTTATTAGGTCTTCTGAAAAAAAAAATGTCCTATGAACATATACAGTGTTCACCAATTCCGATATTTTCGCCAAGAGATACCCAAGACAGTCATTAAAGTTTGATGCCTTATAAACTGCTCAACACATGAAACGTAAAATCGCATTTTTTCGATCAAATTTGAATCATCCTATCTTTCGGTTTCCTCAACCAATTTTCAATTATTTCTCAGTTTCTGAAAGCTCGTTTCATTGACTATCGAACCTATGGATATGACTATTTCATTTTTTCCGGATGAGATTTTACAGGATGATAATCAAAGCTATATGCATTTTTCCAAAAATTTCAAACGCCTCCCGTTTGAAAGAAACATTTTTCAATTATTTTTTGGGATCAAAAACATATTGCTTCATATGTTTTCTCAATACTGTGAAAAAATTGGTGGAATTGTCACACGCCTTACAGAAATATGAATGTTTTAATTATAATAAGATAATGCATAATTCGATGCTCTAATTTCTATTGATTGGCTTTGTGTTCCTGTCAATCTGGTTCGAACGGTGGTCACACAATCATGAAATGATGCATGATCAACCTATTCTTATATACAGGGTGGTCCCCAAACAACAATAATTATGACATCAAGTAATAACAAAAAGTCTTGTCTTGACGAGCAAGAAAATTTCGAAGCAGGAAACCGATTGAGAAGTTTACTGGCGATCAAAGCGTGTATAGGAGAGGTTGTCATCACCATGTCAAGTTGATGCTACAGAATCGATCGCAAGATCAAATCACTGGAATTGTTAGGAAAACCGGATTTTCAGAGCTTCGTTCTCACTTTTTGATAGATTTTTAGAAGATAATTTCAAGGCAAATGAGATCGACTGAAGAAATATACAGGATGTTGTCTAAATAAAAAAAGTTGCTGCGGAGACATACCATGCAACTGACAGAATTCATCACAATTGCAGTAGATCAACTAGTATCAGGATGTGATTTCATTTGCGATGCACGTCTTCACGAAGGACTAATATTGAATATATGTCGAAATTTAAAAGAATGGCTGACACGAGTCACATGGATATGTAATCTCCGACTCAGAAAAAACATGAATTTTTTATATTGAATTCCATCACAGTCACAATCTTCTATAGTTCCATGACTTTTCATCAATAACACTAGTTCAAATCACATCACTCTCACGTTTAATTGAATTTAACATTAAGTGAGAAGTGAACATGAAAAGTATGAAAATTCAGTAACACGTTGACACTGACATTCAACAAACACAAATATACAGTATGCATATGTTTCCGAATGAATGAATGATGGAAGTTGGAAGCATGCCCTCTACGATCAACAGGGAGCCCAACTGCTTGTTAAGAATTCATGTTATTGAATTTTCATACTTTTCATGTTCACTTCAATGTTGAATCCATTTGAACGTGAGAGTGATGTGATTTGAACTGGTGTTATTGATGAAAAATCATGGAACTGGAACATTGTGACTGTGATGGAATCCAATATGGAAAATTCATGTTTTTTCTGAGTCAGGACATTACATATCCATGTGACTCACCATTCTTTTAAATTTCGACATATATTCAATATAAGTCCATTGTGAAGACGTATATAAGAATAGGTTGATCATGCATCATTTCAAGATTTTTGACCACCGTTTCAATTCCATTTGGACAGGAACACAAAACCAATAGAAATTAGAGCATCAAATTATGCATTATCCTGATAAAACATTTATATTTCTGTAACACGTTTGACAATTCTAGCAATTTTTTCACAGTATTGAGAAAACATATGAAGCAATATGTTTTCGATCAAAAAAAAAAAAAAAACGTTTTTTTCTTTCAAACGGGAGGCGTTTGAAATTTTTAGAAAAATGCACAGCTTTGATTATCATCCTGTAGAATCTTATCCGGAAAATAGGAAATAGTCATATTTATAGGTTCGATAGTGAATGGAACGAAATTTCAGAAATTGAAAAATAATTGAAAATCGGTTGAGGAAATCGAAAAGTTATGATGATTCAAATTTGATCGAAAAAATGCGATTTTAGGTTTCATGTGTTGAGCAGTTTAGTTTCAAATGAATGCAATTGAAACGTGGGTAGCCATGAGCCGTGAAATCAAGTTGCATTTTCAAATTTCGTTTACATTTTTCTAGTCTGCTGCTTATAGAAGAATATAATATAACTTTCATGCATGTCTTGATAGACGCCATAAAATGTCCATATTTTTTCTTCTCGCGAAAGTTATTTTCTATAGTTATTCATATGTCTTATCGACTGAAAAATCCAATATGCTCTGGTTATTGCAATAATTTTTATAAATAGTTCTCTTCTTCGATCGTTAAAGTATACAGGATGTTATCGAAATGAAAACATTCAGTGTGTGCGATTTGAACCCGCAACACCCCCCTAATTTGGAACCCGTCGACCGATTGTCAATGTCAAAAATTTCATAATATAGTACTCAAGAAGCTCTATTCGAAAATGTAGACAAATCTGAAATATTCACATTTTCAAGGCCTACTTTTGATTGTTGAATCGGTCAACATTTCAAAATCGACTATTAGGCAATTTTTTGTCCTAACAGTGACTGGCCAATTCGATTCAGGCATAGCTTAAATAAATAAAATGAAGAGATTTTTTCATTTCGTGTAAAATTTATTATAAAATCGTAAAGCGCTTCCGGCTAAGGTCCAAAAATTAGTAATCGACGACATCATTATGGTACAAACGGAATTAGGAACAGACATACATTTAACAAAAAAGTTCCCTAATGGGTTATTGTGAAAATTTTTCAAAAATACATGTTAAAGTTGTTCAGCTCAGGGACCTTACCTTACTTAGTCTGACCAGAGATCTAAATACACACTTTAACCATGTCCAGTACACAGCTTCGCGGATGATAGTACCATTAGTACCCTCCATACCGCCTTCTCTTCCAGGACTCCAATACCAGTCAGCCAAATCAGAAACGAACATAAATATGAACTTGGCAACAATTCTCGAATAGGGATCCAATAACTAGGTAGATTTCAAAGCAAACAAAACACAAGCAGACTTGGGTCGAATACTGAAATCCGGTATTCGAATACGAATCATGAATACTGTACTCTAAATTGTATTCGAATACTCAAGATTCGAATACAAAGAAAAAAAAGTATTGGAATACCGATGTATTCGAATACCTGGATTCATTCATATATGAATATTTTATGAATATTCCAACTGAAAAAAAAAAAAACATTTGCGCACATAAAGCTCGTTTATATTAATGTATGTAGTTATTTTATGAAAATATATGAAAAAAGATAGAAAATATATTGAATAAAACTTCTAAAATATTTTTTTGATCCAAAGTGCCACAATGAGGTTAAGGTAACACAAAATAATTGTTTAGTGAGATAATAATGGAAAATAATCTCAAATAATGAATAAAATTCATTCCATTACAAATAAAACATAGGAACTAATAAAATATATATGATCGACCAATAATATACAGGGTGTTTCACAGGTAAAGGGAAATATTTCGATGATAGATTGGGGTCACCAAGGTGGTTCTGAAAATACCATATTTGATAGGTCTTAGACTTTTCATGACGGAGATACAGGGCGATTTATCGATTTCGAATAATTATTCATTCGTCTATAAGTATTGAACTACCCAGTATATTCTTCTGAAATTTGGTATGGAGCTCAAACTTGGGACGTTGAATTCATTCACCTATCGGGCGAAGTGAAAATCCAGGTTCGGCTTCAGGAAAAATTCACATTTATTCGAAATATTAAAATAACACACTGTATGTAATAATTGAGAAAGTTCATCAAAGGAATCATGAAGAGGAGGAAAAACTGAACTGGATTTGATGCTTTTTGTCTTCCCGCCACCAATTCTCATCGTAACAATCATAAACAGGAGGCTAAAAGTATGTCAATTATAAGAGTATTAAAATTATGAAACCACTTTCAATCATGATTATTTGATATATTCTTGTTAAATGATCGTTCGGAAGAACTTACTTAGTCTCACAGTCTCTATAACAGAGATACAGGGTGAATTATCACTCGTCCATAAGTATTAAACTACCCATCGCGCAGTAATATTTTCTCAAATTAGTCTTTATAACAGAGATACAGGGTGAATTATCGAATTATAATATTGCCTGATGGGTTCATGGATCCATCGTCCCAAGTAAACTACATACCATATTTTAGAAAATGTTACTGGGTAGTTTTATACTTATGGACGAGTGAATAATTATTCAAAACCGATAATTCACCCTGTATCTCCGTTATAAAAACTGTGAGACTTAGTAAGTACTTTCGAGCGATTTTTTGACTCAAATATATCGAATAATCATAATTGACACTGGTTTCATAATTTCAATACTCATCAAATTGACATACTTTCAGATTTCTGTTTATGATTGTTACGATGAGAATTGGTGGCGGGAAAACAAAAAGCATCAAATCCAGTTCAGTTTTTCCTCCTCTTCACGATTCCTTTGATGAACTTTGTCAATTATTACATACAATGTGTTATTTTAATATTTCGAATAAATGTGAATTTTTTCAGAAGCCGACCCTGGATTTTCTCTTCACCCGATAGGTGAATGAATTCAACGTCCCAAGTTTGAGCTCCATACCAAATATTAGAAGAATATACTGGGTAGTTCAATACTTATAGACGAATGAATATTTATTCGAAATCGATAAATCGCCCTGTATCTCCGTTATGAAAACTTTAAGACCTATCAAATATGGTATTTTCAGAACCACCTTGGTGTCCCCAATCTACCATTGAAATATTTCCCTTTACCTGTGGAACACCCTGTATAGCGACGGCTCCGTTTAAGCGTAGCGCAATATTCATAGAAATAATCAAAAGTATCCGAAAACAGGATTCGAATACCGGGATTCGAATACAAAG